TCCCTTTTAAAAGGATACACAATTTAATGATAAACTAAAAAAAAAAAAGGGAAACTTTGCTATGGAATATGTAACAAAAAAAAAAATTAATATTTGTATAATATTAAATACTAAACTTCTTTTAAATAGGACATAATTTTTGTAAGATACAAATAAATTTTTTTTTTTTATCTATTAAGCTAAAAGTACACTTTCATAATGAAAGTTTAGTTTAATTTTACTATTTAAGGTCGTACTTTTGAGTAAAAATAAAACCAACAGTGTGTGTTCTCGTTTATTTTATATGATATGGTGCCCCTTTTTAAAAAAATTTGATAATTATAGAGCGTTTTTGTTAAAATTAACCGCAAAGTGGTACAATACACCGATTGCTGACTTGAATAATCACATATAAACTGGTTTACAAATATAAAATGGCTTACATTATAGAGAAGGAACATTTAAAGCTGGTAAATAGTTTCTTTCGTGGAGAGTATTGACTTTTTACTATTAAGAGCCTTACAATTAAGAGGCCTTCATAGCCCCCTCGATTGGGATGGCCAAACCCTTTTCGCACATGAGTATTAGGACTATTTTACTTTTAGTGTTAAAATTCCACTGCGCCAAACCAAAAAGTAGACACCCACATTTAGGGGGACAAAAAGTTGTATTTAAAGTTTTAATTTGTAATAGCCCCCACGAAATACTTAACTAAAATGTTTTCTTCGTTGAATATACTCACTTATAATACTATTTATTTTAAAGTTTGATAGGAAGAAAAAGACAAAAAGAAAATTTCTACGCAGGTTGTTACCTACGACGTATTGCTGAGCCAAGTATAGGCTGGGGGGCTGCAGTAGCAGTTGTAAATAATATGGGCTATTGCAGTAAACTTTTTTAAAGGATCATAGTTTTATAATTTTTTAAGTGCAAAATTTTGTTTATATTATAAAATAAATCTAGTAGGTCTTCCTCTCGTTTCACGGTTTTTGTCTTTGAGAAGTTATCCTATAGTTTATTTTTGGCCAATATCTCCTAGAAGTTATTATTCTGGTACTTTGTACTTAATTAAATTCGTATTTACTTTTTTTACTTATATTAATTTTTTCATTTCCCGACAAAGAATCTAATAATATTTTTGTTGACAATGAACTTGAAGCTGAAAAAAATATAAAATATAAATGGGTTAAAGTTCCCATTCCGCAAACGTTTGATAACTCTAGAATCGATTCCTTGTTATTAAAACTTCTTCCAGGATCCTCGTTTAGTGAAGTTATGAAGCTAATATCAAAGAAATTGGTTTTACTTGGTGTTTAGTTTATAATATCCAAGTTATTAGAGTGTGTGTTATATTTTAAGTGCATATTGCTGTTTTTATTTTATTTTTGACAAGTTCTCTCTTTCCTACAATTTATTTAACTAAAAAATATTAAGCTCTTTCTATTTCTTTACATTATAAATAGCTTAGAGTAGAAAGTGAAGGGAAGTTAAGCCGAATCAAACGGAGAAGTACAAGGGTTACAATTGGCGACACACTCCATCTTCCTTCAAATCTTGAGCCAAAAATAACTAAACTGTCTCACTTGGATTGTTTTTCTCAAGTATAATTTTTTTTTATTTCTTTTCTAGTAAAGTTATAATTTTCAGGAAATTTAGATACTTTTTACAGCTAATTTAGTGTTTATTTTTAACATTCTTTTATTTTTTTATTAAAGTATCGAATTTTAAGTTTACTTAATTATTTCTATATATTTTTTTATATTGAGATTAGAGAAAACTTAATATTTATTAAAAAATATATTACTAAATTAGTTTTAAAAACATTAAAACCGTAAAAAATTAAAAAATTATATAGAAAATAAAAATATTATTTTTGAAAAAAAAACTTTTTAATACTTAACTTTTTAATATTTAATCATTTTTTTAAAGAATTGAATACATCTATAGATAATAAAAAAAGTTTATATATTTATATACACCCGTAATCTCTAATTGATTAATATAACTTTTCACCTGTTTATAATTTATTTTTTTGGTATTGACACAAAGTCAACACTGTTCTACAACTCTGTAAACCTTTTTACTAAATTATGTTATTTTTTTCTGTTTAATTACTTTTTCCTGGCTTTCCTGTTTATTTTTATAACTGTACTTTTCACTTTCAAGCGTGTTTATATACAATATTTTAAATAATATTTCAATTTTATAATTTGCACTATAGAATGCACCACCCTCTCCCCGTTTATTACAACAATGTATTTTGTATTCCGATAAAAATATTATTGTCATCAATAAACCGTACGGTCTTTCTATTAAAGGTGATCTTTTTCATATAATTTATTTTTAAAAAATTTATATATATTCTATGGAAGATTCTGGAAAGCATTCTTTACGATTAGAGGATTATTTGGAGATTTTAAAAATTTCAGAAACCGACGACTTGAGAATTATAAACCATATTGATCAAGTTGACTTACTTTTGTTTGTATATTGCGATGAATATTTTAGTTTTATTAATATATTTAGTTTTTATTAATCTGTAATTTATATTATTATTATAAGCTCTAATATACTTATAATTTACCCTTTTTTTGTTTATATAGATAAATATCTATTTACTTATCTAGTTTTTATATTTTATAACATTAAAGTAAATTTTTTTTTTTGCGAAAATGTTGTAATTTGTATAAATTTTGAATTTTTAATTGGAAATTCTGTAGAGCTTTGTAACTATTAATAATTTAATTTTGAATCTCTCAAATCTTATAAAATATGGCTTATACTCATAGAGAAACCTTATAACTTTTTACCTAAAAAATTATTTTTAGTTGTTTAGTAATTTTATTTGAAGTTAACATCCATATTACGGACTCTTAAGCTCCTTATTTTTTTCATTAGTAATAAGATTTACTTAACGGTATTTCTTTTTTTTTCTTCAAAATATATTTTTTATAACTTTACTTTATAATTAATACCAAATTTTTTTAAAATTTTGAAAACAAGTATATTTAATTTAATTTTTGAAAATTATTTTATTAGTTTTTGAAAGTTTCCAATATTTTTTTCAAGATTTAGTTGTTTTAAATTTTCATTTAATTTTTTTAATACTTATTAAAAAATTTAAAATACAGGTAAAAGTTAATTTTTTTTAAATAATTTTAATTTCAAAATCTAACAAACTTATAAATAATTTTTCTTTTATGCGTATAACATTATATATGTTAAATTAATTTGTGGAAAGTTTTGCTTAATCTCGTTTTTGGTAATCAACACTTTAATAAAGTTTTCTACCGGAATTGTAATTCTTGCAAGGACTCCGGATATTGCGAATCGACTGAAATATTATGTTCGTTCTTCTTTGGAAACTTTAGAGGTTTTGACATATTATAATTGATTCATTATACAATTTTCTTTGGAAGTTATCGATTTTCTTGTGTCATCTGATTTATATTATAGTATTTAACTTTGTGATTACAAAAAATTTAGTGGTTTTTCTATTGCATTATAACAAATATATGTTGTATACAATGTTTTAATTTTTATAAAATTTCAGAAGCATTAATTTTAATAAGCAATTTTGTAAAGTCCTGTATCTAATTAGAATTTTTGTTGTTGGGCTAGTGAGCTTAATAAAAAACTTTATATATTAGCGCTTCTGTCAAGTTTGTAGTTCATTTAAAGTTTAACATGTCTTTAATTTTGTAAGTAATTTTATTTTATGCTACTTTTGTTACCGTTATGAATATAGTAAATATTTGATTTTTTTTATTTGTTTAAGTTTAGTTATACATAAAATTTTCTTTATTTTATATTAGTGACTTTTTTGATTTAGAAATTTAGTTACTTTATAGTTTATATTTATACTACTTTTAAACTTTTCAAGTATTTAAAAAATTATTATCGGAAATTAGAAGTTTCTTCTGTTTTAAACTAAATTTTTATTATTTTGTAGTTTTCTTTGTGTAGAGTTTTGTTATGTGAATTGATTTTATACTAGAAGACTGTTAAAGTAACCAACTTATGGTTTTTCATATAAAATTTTTTACTAAAATTTAGTATTGGGGAATTGGAATTGGAGTTCCAGCAAAGTCTTCTGCAAAGTAAATTTTTTATTAATTACATAATATTTGAGGACTACATTTTTAAGTTCTACAATTATTTATTGGAAAGAGGTGGCGTGCACATTAAATTCAGTATCTTTTTTAAACTTGTTGTTTTATAAATTTTTAATTACTTTTATGCTTGTTTAAATGTTTTTGTAGTTTATTTATAACTTCTTGTATTATTAAATTTGAACACGTCTTGTTCATTACTACTATAACTATTTTTATAAACAAAAAAATTGTACTTTGGATAAGTTTGTTAGTTTTTTGAAAAAGTTAATTATATTTTTTCATTACTGATTTATTAACGTTATTTTGTTCTAAAACAATATTACTTTTTTTTAATTCTGATTGACTATTTAAAATTTATTTAAATACAATTTTATAATTTACAATAAATTATAATTTTTAGGGAACTATAATTTCTTTGCTGTTTGAATTTATTACTGTTAGGAGTTTACAGTTTATATATTACGTCTTAAAAGTTTATGAATTTGTTTTAAATATATTTTTATCACTAATTCTTTTTTAATAATTTTTAAAACTTTATTAAGTAAATTATAACAACGGTTATTAAAGTTTCATGTGTAATTTATTTAAAGGAAACTTATCATTGTTATAGTATTCCACATGTTTCTGTACGTTATTTTTATATAAATTTTATATAAAAGTGACAATTATAATTTTTTGTAATTATTTTTTAATTTCATTTTTGTTTCAATTTTTCTTTTAAGTGGAGTCTTCAAGAGCTTAAAAGTATAATAGCAATAGTGCAACAATAAAGATTCTCATGGAAAATTTGACATTAAGTTTGTTTTATTTTATTTAAAATAAATTTTCATACATTTCCATTTTTTGAACTTTTTTGTCAATTTTCAAGCTGAAATGAATATAATAATTTTCGACAATATTAAAATTGCACGAATATTTTACAATTTATTAAACAGAAATTGAACTTTGCTTATATATTTTTGCTATTGAAATAGAGTACAATATTATTACTAAACTAATAATAATAAATTTTATAATTATTTATATTATTTTTTTCATAATTATTGAAGCAATAGCCAATAATAAAAATTAAGAAAGAGATATAGTTTTCATATACATTGATTATTATAAGTAAATAAGTATATTATACACAATAACCGAGAAGATTATAATGAAAAGTATTAATTTATGATGATAAATTTTGTAGTTTATAAAATGTAAATAATGTTTTTGATTATTTTTAATAAAGAAAACAAATTTTTAATGACATAAGTAACACTTTAAAAATGTTATAAAATAATAGGAAATACAATATATATTATATATACTTTTAAAAACTATTCGTTAATTAGAAAGCATTTAAAAGTAGTGATATGTATATATTATAAAGTTATTATTAATAATGGAAATGGAATAGTAACTAATGTTTTTAGTTTTCTGTTATTTTATCTAAATTTTGTATGTTTATCCTGAAGACTGTCCACACCCGTTACTGTTTCGCTGGATTCGTCGGGCAGGCAGTTTGTGAGGTGCAGGCCGGAATTAAAAAAAGTATAACATGTATAAGAAATTGTTAATAAAGTTTTGGTTTTGTTATTTTATAAAGTAAAATTCTAGAGAAAAGTTCGTAAATATTTTTTATATTATTGTATAATTATTACGTTGACGTTTATTCGTTTTATTTACTTTTATTATATACATGTGACTTGTACTATAATGTAACGTAGTGTAGGATCTGCAGTAAACTTTTTACTTTTTAGAAAATTTATTAATATTTCTTAAATAATTAATTGACTTAATTTTTTTTTTAAAGAGGGAAAAGAAAAATTTTGTAAATTAAGGATTTTTATGTTCAAATTATTAAACTTTTTCAGTACTATTTTTTACTTATCGTAATAACTTTTTATATATTAATTTAAATATTTAAATATTGTTATCCTTTTTTTTACATATATACTAATGTTTAAAAGATTTCTCCGAAAATGTACACGAACTGCTATAGGTACACATATAACACGTGCTCTGAGTATCAAGTAATGGACTCTTTTATGAATGTAATTATATATTTTTTATTATTATCATATATATTATGAATTAAAGAAAAGAGTTTTTTTTACTATAGAAATATTTAATTAACAATAGTCACAAACTTTTTGAAGTTTTTCTAATAAATATTCCAAAAGCCTTAGAAAGTTTTTTTAATAATAGATAATAAAATTAAAGAATAATTACTTTTTTTTAAGTTTTGCTAATAAATATTATGAAAGCCTTGTAAATAGAGGTATTTTAATATATATAATAAATAATAAAATAATGAAAAATTCATATTTCCTTGTGCATAAAATATTTATCATATAAGTCGTTTTGCTTATGTTTAATTTTTTTTTTTGTTGCAAGTATATATATACTTGTTTGTTCTGTTATTGTTATATTAAAATTTAGTCTGATGCAACTTTTCATAAATACGGTTAGTCAAAAACTTCTACACCTAATGGTGTTGCGTACTAAAAATTTTTCTGTTACACTCGACCACAATGATCTTCTATTCTTTTATGTATTTAATACGTTTATAAGTAACTCGTTATATTTTAGCGCTTACTTTTATAAAAGCACGTTTTCATGATAATTTCTTCTTTTAATATTTATAAATTTAGGATACAGTATTTCATGGATTAAAAATTTTTTATAAAAATTTTGAAATTGTATTAAAATATAATTTGTACTCGAATGAACTTTAATAGTTAGTTATTTTATTAAAAATACCGAATATCATTCTAAATAAATTTAAATTATATATAAGTTTACTGTATATGGCTTCTTTTCAAAGGCGGAGTCGTCAGTATTTTTTTTTGGTGAGACATTTACAGGAAACTGTAGTGCCTTTTAGACCTATGTACAGCTCCATTTGTTCTACTCTACCTATTGCCCTTTAAGCTGTAGCCTTCCCGGATTATTTCCGAATGTTTCCTTGTAATATTGTCCCCTCGACGCATATTCATCAATATAATTATTAAACTGTCTAGGAATTGCTGTATTGCTATTAATGTTACTTTTATAGAAACTTTCTTTACTCCGAATGAGAATAATACTTCCTGCAAAGAAGGACACCCTTCCGGCGCACATAGCTCAATTGGCAAAAACACCACTTGTTGGCTGTACCAATTATATGGGTTTAATTGTCTGTTAAGGAAAGGTTATATTTTTTAATGTAAAGTAAATTTATAGATCACTGCGCTGTAGAACTTCGAAGGGATGCAGAGGTATCTTTTTTACTAGTAACACTATTTAAAAATTAAATAAATATACCACCATAAAATAGAAACTGCTTGGGAAGGTTGGTCGTGTTTGCCTTCACGCCAAATCTATTCTACTCTCGTTGGGATACGCCAGTGTTCCTATAGAAGCACCTCTTCCTGAACATTTTCTTTCTGCTTGTAAAAAAGTCTCTTTTGACCGACTCACTAAAGAAGTCATCTTCAATCCACCTCCCAAGAAAAGAAAAACTATCATATAATTGGAGTGAAATAGATGACTTTCTGCAACTTCCTTTTACAATACTAAATTTTAGTTTTGAACTAGACCTTGTACATAATCATTTTCCTAAAAACTGTATTTTGTATTGCATGTAAGGGAAGTCTTTTAAGAAATAGCATTTTATACTTTAAGATGTTGCCACTAAAATTATATTTGTCCAAATGTTTATAAATATTTTTCGATATATATTAAAAAATTTAGTTAAAAAAAAGTAAGGAGATTGCTACTGGAAAAAAAGTTTAGCAAAAGATCATTTTATCTATTGTAAGAAGCCTCTAAACAATTACACTATCTAAGTTCTAGTTTTATAAGGAGCAGTTCACCTACTTCTTAGTATTGTTAACCTCTGGCTCCTAACTTGTAGTTCCTGATTTTTAATTATAGCAAAAGAACGCAGAGAAGAGACAAAAACTTAGCTGGACCGTCTAACTTTAACCCCCCTATACCTATAGTTTTTGAGGAGTATGCATACTAACTATAAGGTGCGAGCGTCTTCCCTTATATAAAGATGATTGGTCTTCTTAATTGCCCTATTCGGCAACCGTGGACCTTTGACTGTTCCTGTTTGCTCTATCTTCGCTGGAAAACGATAATCAGCATGTCCACCTTTGTAAGTAAGCTATTCTTTCAACTTTAGTCTTCTTAAAAGTCTATCCAGTTGTGTGCCATTAAGTCAAGAAGGCTTTTTATTAGTCTTTCTTCCCACTTAAAATAATTTATTCTTTTAACTTTTTAATGTTAATATCGGAGTTTTTTTAAACACTGCAAGCCATAAACTCGAATAAAGTCCCAAAAAATGTAGTAAAAAACGGCGTCCTTCCATGATCCACACCATCACTCTTAAGCCAAAAGGATATGTGACATAAGAGGTACTAGTTTACTTTATTTGGCTTAAGAAAGCATTTAGTCATGGAGGGGCATTCACAAGCAACCCCGAGAAAGGATCGTACCCTTGTAATTTCATTACTGGATTAACCAATCAGATGTTCTCGCCATCGTTAAAAATCTTTTTCCAGAGAAGCCATTAAATGATATCATAAGAATACCTAAATTAGTCTATAGCAATAATCGAAATTTGCAAAAGTACAAGTGAATTGTTTCAGAAAAAAAATGCTTCCTTAAAAATTTATTTTTGAAAGACAATAAAATTGTTCATGTATTTTTCCAAACTAAATTAGTCTGCTTCCCGATTAACTTTAAAATAACCTTTAAGAAAATTAAAATAATAAAATCAATCAGGTAAATACTTGTCTTTAGTGGGACAGTAAATTAATGACATTCCTACTACGTGGCATGTCCGCCTAACGGATAACTATTTAGAAAATGGATCCAACGTAGTAAACGCTAAAAATTAATCTTTGAGAGCTATGCTATACATGTTGACAGACTATAGCCTATTAAGTGTTTATTGTCTAGTTATTCTTTAAATATTACCAAAAAAAAGTGGCGCATAATAACCAAAAAAGTATTTCTAACCATTTCATAAAATATTACCTCAAATGAACTCAATAAAACAAAACTTTTTACAAACTTCAATATGTTGATGTTCTTTTTCTAAAATTTTAATTAAATAAGTAATTCTTTTTCTCTTCTTTCCATATATAATAAATAAATCCTTAATTTTAAAGTCTTTTTTTCCATATGAATTAAACAATCATTATGAACGCCCTTCCCTTACACTCTCGCAATTTTATAAATGGTCATCTTTTTTTTCTTTTCCGCTCTCTTTCTTTCGGTCTCCTTCGCTCTCGTTCTCCTTCTCTTTCTCGATGACGTTCGCGATACCGCTCTCTCTCCTTTGATTTCAGTCGCTCTTCACTAGCTCTACGCTTGACCCGCCTCGAAGGGTGGGGAGACGTAGCTCTTCTGAAAAAAAAAAAATATAAAAATATTTAGCTGAATAATAAACTTAAAAACTAAACAAGTTTTCTAATACTATATATAATAATTATATAGATAAATATTGCTAGTTATTTTAATAAGTTCTTCAAAGTAATAAATAGAAGATAAAGTAAGTTATATGAAAATAAAAAAAATATAAAACCTCGATAAAGAACGAAAATGACGCGGATCAAAATCCTTATTGTTTTTGTGTTTAGAATTTGAATGAGAAACATTTTCTTCGAGAATTTTTGAATTCCCAAAAGATTCAGTGCGATGGGCAGTTTCCACCGGAACGACTTCTGCATTATTTTGCTTATTTTGCAAAAGTCGCTGAGTCACGAGTTGTTTGGCCCGATTAAGCGCCTCGTCCAGCGCGGCCCACGAAACTCGAGGAAGTTGGTATAAATGAAGAATTGCTTTAGCACATTTGTGAAGAGCAGCATAATCCGCTTCAAAAACGTCCCACCATCGAATTTCTATATAATGAAAAATTAATAAACGTAATAGGGTTAACAAAAATAATTATAAACGGTTTAAAATTTTCGAATTAGTTTTATTGACTACTTTAATAATAAAGTGTTACCGAAGTAAACGAAATTAAATAAAAACCAAAATAGCAATTCAAATTTTAAAGGCGCCGACAGATAAATAAAATAATTAGAATTAAAAAAAACAAAGTAAAAAAGAGTTATAAAATATATAAAAGATATAAACTCTACAAAAAAATTAAAAATATTTAACTTACCTTATTTTTTATTATAAAATTTGACATAAAAACATGATTAATATATAAATAATAATTCTTTAATACACTCAATAAATTTTGTTATATATATTAAAGATATTATATCGCTGTTACTCTTTGCGATATTAATAATAATAAAAGTAAATGAAGGCTCACCAAACTCATTAACCGGTTGTAATAAAGAAATAAAAAGGATGATATAAGCATAATAAATATATCAATTTTTAAATATTCTACGTTTAACGGATAAAAAAAGCAAAGAAAACCAATAATAATCATTTTAATATAAAAAGTTGTTTATAAATATATGAAAAAGAATGTTACGCTCAAGACATTAATACTAAATTATATAAAAAAATTATTAAAAGCAACAATATTAAAACTAAAATTTATATAAAAACAGAGCAGGGAAAGTTAAAATGTAAATAAATAAATGTAATAATAAAGTTATAATTAATTCTTTATATGCTACATACACTTCTACTTAAATAAAATTAGAAGTTAATTAAAATAGTTTTGGTAATTTCCATATATTATATATGTTATGACAAATTATATTAAATATATAAATTAAGAAAAATAAGAATTTAATATCTTAACAAAAATATTATATATCAAATAAAAAATTAAATTTATTATTACATCAACATAAATTATATATTAAAAAAATTAGAGGAAATATAAAAAAGCTTAAATTATTTGCTCGAAAAGAATTATATATTCCATTAGAAGACTTAAAAAAATTGAAAAAAGATTTTTAAATCCCTGAAAACTATAACAAAACAAAAATTATATTAAATAATAATTACTTAACCGCCACCTGAGGTTAATCATATAAAAAATTAAAAAAAACTTTTCTTAAACAGTCCGCTTCAAAAGTAAAGGTAATAAGAAATATATAGGAAAACAAAAATAAAGATCAAATATAATAAAAAAAAAGTTATTGATCATTAATAAATAAATTTAGTAAGTATTAACGAACAGAATAATAATGTAGTTAGTTTGTGTATACACATTTCATATAGAAAATATAAAAAATTGTAAAAAAAAAAAAATAAATTTTTATAAATTTTATTCATAAGTAGAATAAAAAATGATCCTAAAATCTTTAAATAAAAAAGTTTTAAAATAAATAACAGAGGGTAGTCAAAAATAATTTAAGAAATTTTAGTTAATAAAATTGTTTATAAGCCTTACAAAATACAGCAAAACTCCAAAATAACACTACATATATAATAAACTTTATAATAAATAATTAACGGCATCAATGATATTATAAATTTCTAGAATAATATTATACTATTCATCTCTATAAAAAACCCAAAAAAGTAAAGTGAAAATATAACAAAACTTTAAATTAACATAGTAAATAGTTTATAACTTTTTGGTATAAAAAAACTTAGAAGAGTTTTTATAAATTTATCATAAATATGAAATAATTGTTCTCAAATATCAATCATTCGACAATTTCTTTATAAAAAACTAAAAAAATATACCCACTACTATAAATATATTTGAATAAGTAACAAAAATAATTGTTCTAATAAAAGGTATTACATAACGAAGTTATTGTGCTACATAACTTAGTAAGAAAAAATAAATTTTTTAAAAATATAAATAATCGCATTTAATATAACTACAAAGTTTTTTATTTATAGAGTTGTAAATAATGATTTCTAACTAATAAAAATGATATATAACAACAGTTAAACATATAAAAATAAGTCTAATAATAAAAACAATTTGTTAAAAATTGGCAATAATTATTAATACTATACAGTCAATGGGCTCAAAAAGTAGCAACACCAACTCCTCTGTTAACTGTAAATGACTTCACTAAAAATGAGAAGCAAGAAAAAATAACCCAAAAAATATTTATAGTAAATTAAAAAAAATTGCTGCACTAAATAAACATAAAATGTAAACATATATATTGAAATAAAACTGAAAAATACTTGAAAAATTATTAAATATACTAAACTTTGGAAGTTTCAATATAATAAAAATATTAGATATATAAAATTTTTAATAACTAACTTCAAAAATAAAAAATATTATATATACAATTTTCTCAGTAAACAAAAAAATTAAAAATTTATAATCAAAAATAAACTTCCGAACAAAAATAAAAATAATTAACATAATTAATGAATGACTATAAAAAAAAATATATATAGCCCTTTTTTAAAATTCGTATGCTCGCAGAGCAGTCGATAAGATAAACAAAAGTACAAAAGAAACGAATAAAGTTTAATGATTAACTTTATAAAAAAAGTCCAGAAATATAAGAAATATTTAATAAAAGAAACTTAAGTTAAAGAGTCAATATAGTATTAAAGTGTTATAATATAACATTAAGAACAAGTTTCAAACAAGATAAGTAAGTAATAAAATCGGGTATTAAAATTTTTAGAACTTAAATTAAAAAATTAAGTTTAAAAAAAAAAAGCAAACCATTGTCTTCAGGTAAACTAATGTTCATTACTCTGGTAGATAAAAATATGATGCTGGCAGCGATAACATTCGGTGAAAATCTTAATAAACAAAGCAATATGTTTATTATTTTATGTAAAATATCATTAAAAGCACTCTATATTAGTAACGCAATACACATTCATTACATTTTTATTAACTTTATCATTTCCTATAAAAATACTATTTCCGTATTATTTAAACAACCTTTGGAATATATTAGTTCTTAATGAATCGTTCATAAAATTCCACGCCTTCTGAGCGAGCGCGCGATTCTCAAATAATGAAAACGTCATCAAGTAGTTAATCTGATAAAAAAGATTATAAATATATTAAAAATTTCGAAGTCGGTATTTTTATACAAACTTCATAAGTATATATAAGCAAATAGAGAAATAGTAATAAAGTTACTGCCGTATTAAAAAGTGTAAATTTGCTAAAATTTTGGAATAGTAATAAAAAAAGCCACCAGCAACTTGTGAGGATGCTGAACATGGACGCTGAAGCCGAGTTCCTTCAATACTCTTCGCTCCGCTTTGATAACGTTATTTTTAGCATTTAAATAAGCTTCAGAATATAGACTGTCAAAAACAACATCCTCCTCTTCAGCTTCTTGTGAAGCGCCTTATAAATTTTATTGTATTAAACTTAATGTTAAGTAAAAATTCTGCTAAAATATTCATAAAAAATAAAGTCTCAAATATGGATACAGAGGAAGTTAAAGAAATGAAAAACAAAGAATTGTTCTAAACAAATAAGCAATATTTCCCATTGGCCGACGACAAGTCAATTTTATGGTTAATTAATGGAGCGGATCTTTGGCCAATCAAATATACAGAATAAGGAAGACTCCAGTCTCTGTCCATCTTTACTATATTTTTATTAACCTTTTCCGTATTTGAAAAATTCGCATGTGACAGACAACGCACTAAAATTCGTGGTGCTTACCAGTATAAATAAAAACTCAACACTCACTAAAAACTATTCTACTTTTGACCAGTCTTCAAAATAAAAGCGATGCACTCAGTGTTTCCTAAAGCCGTAAACTGTTTCGAGCGCGGCTCGCTGAGGAACCTTGTACAAACTAGTAAGAGCTGCTCTGCACGCGCTACCCGAATATATATACGCCCTGCAAAGACCCGTGCGTAGCTGAATTTGTCAGTTCATCCAAGCCTAAACTTCAACAGCATAAAGAAAAGCAAAGCATGAGAAGTAGTCTAACAACTTTACATAAAGGCCAATAAAAATGGTCATAAATTCAACCAAAAATGGAAATGTCGTAAGCCAGTGGGAAACGCCAAATTTTTTATTTTTCGGTAAAACTTGTTCATCCTTTATGTGAACAAAAATTAGTGTTAAAAATAAAAAGTGAGAAGCAAAAAATAATACAAACGCTATACTCAAAACAAAACTAGTAATAGTTGCATGGCTATACTAATTTATATTTGAATATAATCAGAATAATTTTTACGAAATAGTATTAATAAATTAAAAAATAAAAATATTAATAAGAAATGATAAACATAATCATTTGAAGACCAGTGTTAATAATACAAACTGGCGAGGTAACTGCACAGCAGCGAAGATTTAAAAATAAGTATAATAATTGTAATAAGAATAAGCTTGTTTTTAATAAGTTTTAAAAGAAAAAGCAATAAAAAAATAACTCAGAAAAAACAAAGTACTTTATCTTATTGAAGTAAACGGAAGTTATTATCTACAGACAGTCTTATGTTCATTACTAGCCTTAATACTACCATCCTTAGTTAACTTTTTCAATAGTAACTTTTCTTAATAAACAGCCGTGGGACTTAGGCCTTCAATAGCTATTCTAATGGAATAAACTCGTAGAGTTATTCCTGTTCTCTGCGAAAAGCCTTTCCAGGCCACTCCAGTGGTCTAAATGCAAGAGAAAGAAATAATGGTACGCTAATATCCATAAAAAACAAAAGTGTTATATACAAATCAACAAGCACGTGCATAACAGCCTATCCTTTCTGCTCTCGCTTAAAATATCTGTTATAAAGCTTTAAGCAAGTATTGCAAAAGTGGCGGCTGTAATCCGACCTGGTTCCCGTCAATAAACATCAGAGGGAAATAAAAATCTAGGAGACCAAAAGCCCTACACAAAGTTTAAAACTTCAATAGTTACATCAACCAAACAGAATTAATAGAAAATTTAGTAAAGTTGTCCATCAACTTAGCAGAGTACCCAAAGCAAACCCGCCAGATCAAACTTCATATGGAAACCCATTTAAAAATTCCAAAAAAATATTGATTTACAAATATAATTTTCCTCTAAGAATATAACAACAAACTTCTCTGCCGTTTTTTTATTAGCTCCAAACCCGTAAATCAAAAGAACTTCCTTATATAACTGTTAATCTAACTTCTGACTTTTATGTAAAAGAAACTCCGCAGCACTTTCATAGCAAAAAAAAATCACCGCTGAGATAAAAATAATTAAAAACGATGATAGCTTTGTATAATAATTAATATATTATAAATAGCACAAAGCAATATTTAAATAATTTGTTCGATTTAAATTTTCCCTCTTAAAAAATTAAAATATATATATTATAAATTTAAAAAGTGAAATCACAACTGCAAAAAAAAATAAATTTGCTTCAAAACAATTCAAGTAAAAGTAAAATTAGAAGTGATAAACATAACTAAAAATGCGGCATATATAAATTAAAGAAGTAAAATAATAATGATATACCACAAATATAAATATTACCCTTCTCTCTTTTTTGCTTAACATAATTATAAACATTAATAATAGGGCGACAGTGAACGGGACATTCTTCAATTTTCGCTGCTAACAAGATACAACCTTCAACAAGAATTATAGAAGCAAGTATAAAATTATATATACATATAAAAATACCCAAAGCAGTGTAATGAAAATCATAATGGACAAAGGACTTTTTATAATAAAAACGTTGAAACAAAATCTGCGCAGTAGCCACGGCCACTTGAGGTAACTTCAGTAATCTTCCACAGATTTGTATGAGTTCACATCCTTCGTATTATATAAAAAAAGAAGGCGCAACTGTAGTTATAATAAATTCATATATAATATTTATATATAATAACATAATGATATAAAAGTAATTAACCTGAAATCCTCAGCTGAATCTCCGTGGCAGCGTCGATAAAGTCTTTCTGTGAAGGTGTATGTATAAGTTTATCATCTTTTAGAAGTGTATTCTCGAGAGAAAGAGCTACATAATGAAAATCAACAGCCTGAGAAGGCGATCCAAGTTTTTTATTGACGGTCCCTTTAAAACAACGACTTTCTTGATTGTAAACTAAAGTAGAGTCGTCGTTTGCTTCAAGGCTTTTAGCCTCACACTGACCTTTGTTGCCCTTTTCACTATAACTATCCGACACAAACATTATTTATAGTAAAGCATCAAGTTCTTTTCAAACTTGTGATGTACTTTCTTTCAAAGTTAATTTAATATGGTAACAGAAAATTACAACTGCTCAGAAATCTATTTCAAGTGTAAACTTATAATATACAAAAATTTAAAACCAAATTTTTGACGAAGACTATAAATAGCCGAAAAAGTACCCAATTATATTATTTTTACAGATACAATTAAAAAAAGCTAAAAAATCCTACCGAGTTGCACAGTGAGTAAATAAGCTACAAAAAAGAAGAGTCTCTTGAAGGAAGCAGGGAAAGAACACACCAACCAAAATGATGGTCAAAACCAAAAAAGAGTGACTGTACAAAACAAAAATTAATTTTCAAAAACTCCGTGCACGTCTAAATCCAAATTAAGAAAGAAGAAAATAAATTGGTAATAATTGTTATTTTTGGTTAAATAGGTGCATTTAACTTTTCCACATGGGCGGTTAGCAGTAAAGTATTGCCTTTTAATGCATAAGCCGACGTGTGTCTTCTGATGTCTCTTTAGTGTTTATGTAAAAGAACTTTATTTAATTTGTTTATTTTTATATTTTTCATTATAAAATGGTTAAAAAATTTATTTTGGATACTTACCTAATAATATAAGTTTTACGTAAGGGTTAGGGTTTACATTAATAAGAACTATTCCCCCCGGTGGCAAAGTCAAGCTTGACTTGCCTCAAAGCACTTCGTTATGGCTAAAAAGTTTCGTTTTACAAAATAGTAAAGGCTGTGGGTTTTTTTTAATAACTTTGGGTACGCAACCTCGTCAGAGTTAATTTTATAACTAATACCACTTTTTTGTTTTCTATTTATATCTATAGAGGTTACATTGCAAAACTGATAAGCGCTGCGGGAACAGGTTACTTTTACACTTTTAAGCGAAGAAAAGGAGCCGCTCGGCTAAGTTTGGTTAAGTACGACCCAGTAGGTAACAAACTAATGTTCGCTATTGTCTTACAATTATAATGTATTTTATTTTTAATTTACTCCTTTTATGAACTAGTTTTAATTTATTTTAAAAAAATAGTACGTCGTCATTGTTTATTTATAGAATCAAAGAAGAAAGCTTGAAATTCTTTTTTAATTTTAGTTAAACTTATGAAATAATAAATTTAAATTATATGACCTAATTATTTATTAAATAAGTTACCGAGTTTTATTAATTTGTATATTTTGGTAACGTGATTAGAAACGTTTAAAATTTTTAATGTTTATTTATTTACAAATTATTGCGCTACGTTCAGAATTTATGCCTCAAATTTAGTTTTGTTTGAGAAAACTTCCAGCAATTCGTTAATAAAGTAATTATCGTTAATAACTGCATAAGCCGGAATAACTTTAACAATAGCAAAGTTTTCTGAATTTGAAATCTTTAGTCGCATTCCACCTTATTTAAAGAAGTAGTAAAAATAGAAATAATTACATTAGACTAAATACCAAAAAATATAAACAAAGGGTGTACTTTACTTCTACACTTTTAAAACAAGCCTTTAAGCAATTTTGCTTTTTACTCAATCGAAAAATTTGGTGTTGAAATTTAGTTTATATCTGTAATATCAGAATAATAGGTGTAATACCACATTTCCTTAGTGTTTGTTTGATATAATTTACTTTTTTACAGAAACCTTGACTCAGTTAAAAGGTAGAATATATTTTTTATGAAACCACTTACTAATTTGAGCTTATAAACAAATGACCCTTGCTTAATTTAAAAAACCATTGCTGTTAGCATTGGGTTACTTTGTTCAAATCAAAATAAAATAATTTTACTTTAATTACAATATTGGGGCTACTAGCGCGGATTACTCAAAAGGCAGTTGGGGATTTATCGCTCTCTAAACATATTTTAGGAAATCTCTTGGGGAATTAAACTAAATTCGTTTGTGAGGCTTTATTATAGAAGTTAAAAATTTGAAAATAATTTAGTTAAAAAACTGGAAAATATGAAAGTTACTGTTAATAATTAAATATTTAGTTATTTAGCCTTGTTACAGATAACTCGATTGATTAAAAAGAGAATTGTGAATAATTTACCTGTAGTTCTCACATCGACGATATTTTTCTCCCTTTCGTCTAAGGAAACGTTGTCATCAAAGAAAATCTACTTATTAAATAAGCTAATAAACTTTAGGACAAACTCGCTTCGCGGCACTAAAAAGTTAGTAGATAAAAATTTTATAAAAAATTATTTAAAAACTTAAAATTTAGTATTTTAAAACTTAATTTTCTTTTGTAGTTATTTTCTTTAAAGTTTAAAAGTTGCGTTTAAGAAAAGTTTGTTAATATTATTAGCTCTAAATTATTAATTCAAAGCTTTATAGTGAACATATTCTATTTTAAATAATTAAAAAATAAATAGTTTGTTCGAACTTATTAAATATATATTTTCAACCTAATTTTAACGAAAATTTTATGTACGAATAACTAAAAGTTTTTCTTATAGTTTACAAGATTTTTTTTTGTAAACGTTGACTTTTAATGTGAATTAAATTCCTTTATTATAAATTTAAGAAAAAAAAAGTTTTAACTTATAAATATTGAGTTATTAAAAATGATTTTTGGCACTTGATAAATTTCCGTATCGTTTGGATCCACAACTAACAGTTTTCCTGCCCAACCAGCTTCATTATTACTAAACCACCTGCATAAGAAATATAGAATTTTTAAGAATTTATTTGAGTAAATTTAATTAATTTTAACTAAGATTTTAAAAACTTGCCTAATAATAACTAAAATTTAACTAATAATAATTGAAAAACTTAAAGGTCATATATTGACCACATCAATTATAAAGCTATTATAAAAGAATTTTTGATTAGATTTCAAAATAATGGGCAGCAAGTAACAAAAGGGACACTGAAATTACTACAAGCATTTTTTATAATATAGTAAAATAATTTTTATTATAAAATTATAATGTTAATAATAGTAGTTATCAATACATAAATAAGTGATATTCCTATGTAAAAGCTTTTAAAAATTTTTATCTTAATAAATTTTAAAGAGCTAATTTTTTAATATAAAATTAATTAAACAATACTTTCTTTTAATTTTTTATAGTAAAGTTTTAAAGATCCTTTTTTTGTATTAACTACTTAATAATTTTAATAACTGTTACTAAGCAAAAAAAAATTAATATTTAATGGTTGCAAATAGTAAAGCTGGAAAACTTGCCAAACACTGCTCGCCGTAAAGGTAACCTACCAATGATAATAGTCAGTGAAACCAAGACAAACATTTTCTTTGAGGGCATCTTTGATAGCGTCGTATATATTCTGATAACCTACAGCAGTTCTTTTCAAAGGGCCGCCTTTACAAAATTGTAGAATTTAGAATTTTATAACTTTAACATAAGAATGCGTTGGGCGGAATTACTTTCAATTAAGGTTATTTTTGATTTTAACATTTAAACGTTTACTAATTAATTTTAGATATCTTATTGGCTTTCTGCTTCTGTGTATAATATATATATATTTTTTCTTAATACTCTTATAAAACTCCTAAAATTTTAATTTTATGGTAAACTTACACCTATAAAATAAAGTCTATATAAATTGCACTTTTAGACTTAAAAAAATTATTTCAGGGTATAACCCTTTGGGTAACCATGAATTTTAAATATTAAATTAAATTGTTAAAAACAATAACAGTACTGTAAGAAAGTTTTTGTTGAAAGGAGGAAGGCAGTTCTGTGCTGCCCAGTACTAAAGCGTCAGAATCGCTACTTCTGAAAAACGCTCCTGTGCATATATCAGGATTTAGTTTCTGTGGAAGAAAAAAATCTAACTTTTTAATAGGTTTAAGCAGCCACTTGAAACCTTAAAAAAGGGGACTTTAACATCAGGAAAAAGGTAGTGGCTTCCTTCACAAAAATTGCTGAAGGTCTTCAGGACTGCCCTCAGATCGGATCCAAAAGTTCGAAAAATTATGCGAAAATTGATACCCCGTTCACATAAATAGTTGACTAAATGAAAAAAAGATGGAATAACGGGAGCAGCATCTTTAGTTAACATCCTTTTTAAAAAAGAAGAGAAATTAGAGTTCAAGAAGAAAAAAATTATTATGTGCTTCTTAATTGATTTTATAGAGAATTGAGCCATCAACTAATTTTATTTAGAAATATTAATATTTGTAAATATAACGTTAAAAACTTAAATTTATTAAAAATAGCAAACAATTTATGAAAAAAGGATAACCTAACAAGAATAAACACTATATTACAAGTAACTTAAAAAAAAATTTACTCGCTACTTTAATAAATTAGTAAGTTTGTGAAATAAAATTAGAAATTATAAATAGTAACACCCTTGTGTTAAACTATATATATAAGTTTTATTTTAAAAATGGTAAATAATAAGTATTTGCTTAGTAGCACATATATAAACATGATTCTAATGTAATTCGGCTTAGATAAATAAACTGATGAAAAAAAGGTGAAAGCTTAAAAAACTTGAAAACAGAAAGTTGTAGGCTTCGTAGTTGGTATTTTTACATAAAATAAACTCACTCAACTCCAGTTAGTTTTTTCCATATTTTGTCGACATGCGGTTGAAAACTCTCTCCAATTTCTCCTTGATGAGTAAACTTACGAAACAAGTCATTTCTGCTCGCCTTTATTTTTCGATTAGTTTCAAGTTTATCTATTTTATACTACAACTTTATAAAGGTTAAATAAAAAACCCATGTTACGCCGTAAACTGACCTTCTATGTTATTTTCAGAATTACTTGGATAAGGAAGGAGGTACTCATCTACGTACTTTTTGTAATTGACAACAAGATCATCGCCTTTACAAGGAGAATCTGAAGAAAGATCTGCGGAAATAATGTCCCAACGATAAGACTTTGATAATGATCTCTCTGAAGTCGTCTTTTTGTAATATAATATATTATGAAGGCATAACGAAATATATTAATAACTACTTCACTAATCCTACCCCAGACTAAACTAGATACTAAATCCTGGACTACATCATCTTTAGATTTCTCCCCGGCCAGATCGGACATTAAAATAGTTTTATTAATATCTAGGTGAAGCACCAGACAAAAATTTGAACATTGAAATTTAGAGATTTGACAGTGGAAAAAATCTTCGCCGCCTTTCATTTTTTATTTATACAAAGTAACTACCCGACACTAAACTGAGCAGTGTTAGTTTGAGTTTTAATTCATATTTGAAAAGTTGCGTGATAGGCTGAGAGGGTTAGTAATCCCAATATTACCTATAAAATATCTTTATCTAGCATAATAACTAAACCACCTTGAGTTTTATGTATTTACCTCCATTATTGCTATAAAATTTTGTTAAAGATTTATTTTTAACTTTCTTACGGAACAAAAGTATTTTATCTAAAAAGACCGAGTTAAAACTAGTTAACATTGTAGCACACAAACCTCAATTATTAAGTTAAAGTTAGATGTCTTTCCCACGGTGGGACACCGGCACTATTTAACTAACACCCTGGGAATAGAGTCCAAGTTATGTGACGTCTTTAAATGCCTACAAACAGTTTGAATTGTATCCTATTTAGGTATTTTTTACGAATTTTCCTCAAATTGTTTTCTTTAGGATTTAAATTATGTTTGCTAATCTATTATATTTCCATTGTCACTTTATTAACGTTATTAAATATTTACTATAATTTTTTCTTTTTTATTTACAAGGCCTTACCGTCTTAAGGTAACCCTTGCTTTTTGTGTTTGCTACAATTATTAGCTAACTGCATTCCCAGTTAAATGACACTAGTGATTATATACGGATGCGCACCTAATTAAAAGATAGATAAAAAAATTGCTTGGTATACATCACATGTAAGAACTAATTACAATAAATATAACATGGTATAATATTCGCGCGTGCAAGCAGCGGAACACATAATCTTTAAAGGCACCTACTCGCTCGGGAGATTAACATCTGTGGGGTGCAGTGTGAAGTAGTTTAATGAGAGTTCTAGTTCTGCCCTCCCCCTCATTATTTATAATTAGGCGCTATAGTTATATCATAAGAATTACACTAAGCGGAAAGTAAATTTTTTAAGTAACTGTAAAAGTAAAGTATATACTATTAAAATTAAATGTACTGTTCTTTAATTAATATGAATTTTTAAGCACTTTAAATATTTTATATATCGCCAAGATCTACAACGTAAACTAGCCAAGCCATTAACACAGGTTTTAAATGGCTCTTTAAAGGATATACAAGCCTACCTACCTCGCTTTTTTAAAAACTCGTTATACTAGATATGCTATGAAATTGCTTTAAGTCTTTAGATGGTGTACGATTTTAATTAAAACCTCTAGTAGAACAAAACAAAATAACACTCAAAAATATTAGCTAAAATTTTCTACTAAAGTCGAACGATAAATAAAAGATGAAACCTAAGGGTTTGCTTTCAGCGCTTGCCGTATGAGGCGTCGCCTCAATTTTAGTAAAGCTGTATTTTGGGTGAAACTAGAGGAGATCAAACTTTTAGGTTTCGTTCTAGTTTAGTGTGCAATCTAATGCTAATTTTGTACAACTAAAGTAGAACTTTTGAATTTAAGGCGACGCTCGAAGCCATTTAACCTGGTACGCCAGTATTTAAGGACTCAAACGAGTAGATTTATAGAAAACTTACTACTAAACCTACTATTATGCGTTTCGTAGAACTACTATAGGCGACTGTATTGGTAGTTTGATTGGTTTGGGGAGCCAACTACTTGATTAGGATATTCCTTTACTTTAGCATCTTGGTTAACAATAGTACTAAAGGTAGTCTCCACTAGCCCCAGGCTAACACGAAAAGAGGTTTTAGCGAGAAAGCTTCCATGGGGGCAGTTGCCGCATTAAAGAAGTGAAAAGTTTTATTGCGTTAGTGACTCTCTACGACAAATGGGCTAGAATCAAGCTGGAACAAGAGTAAGCTATGGTACGATGGAATTTCTTCTAAAATAAATCGGGGTATGGTTGTTATTTTAATTGTCTAACTGAAGGTTCTACACCCACGGTGAACTCTAAGTGGTTATCTACGGTTATAAAATTGGTCTTGAGTAACCGTAACATCTTCTGTGTAACTACTTCCTTAGAAGTACTATATTCTTTCTGTTTGATGCCGGATTACTTTTTATATGACAATGGTATGGTCATCCATTCTACTATAATATCTCGGTGGAAAAGTTGCCCTTACGGCTTAGTGTACTTAACCTACTGTTGACTTACTGCGGTGTAGTCTACCCGAGTCTTCTGGTATTTAAAAGGTGAGGTACAGACGTTTACACTAATTAAACGTGGGCTTAAGTAGCTAAGTTAGTGGAATGTGCAAAATAAGACTATATCTGGCTCTAATAACGAGTAAAATTTGTACGCAACCTACTTACATTTATCAAATTTAATTGTAGTGTACTCTAGCTACTGTTCAGGTTAGGTTGAGAATTTGGCTTATTGTATATCCCTCTATATACTAACTTATTGACGACGCTGGTGAAGCATATACCAAAATCCTAATGGAATAGTGCCCCTTACCAGAGTATGTACTCTTATCATTACCCTTTAGTAAATTAAATTTATTCTCTTATACGTAGTGGGTCAAGCAACTAGTAAACTTCCATCTGAAGATACCTAATTGATTAAGAGAAAAAGAGGCATCATCTTTAAAAGTGTTGAAATTCGATAACCTCATTATATTATAATTATACAAGTACCTCACATATATACGTGATCAACTATCAATTTGTTTACCAACAATCCTTTCGTTTACTACAAACAGTTATTACCCTTTTGACATAGAGGTTTGACTCTATTTTTACTTTTATAATGAAGTACCTACTGTTGACGAATAGATCCCAGTTCATAATTTTTAAAGTAAATTGCCAATATGAGACAATCCTTATAATTGTTTCAAAGATTGTTTTACGCTAAATTATTGCATATAAGGAACATCCGCTTAAAATAAATAAGTAGTCGCATTAATTTTTTTTATGCACTTCCTTCTTAGGCACGTCCGTGCATATGTACTTTATATAAGCATACATATCCGTGTACAGTTAATTTCTAGAGGCCTAATGATTTAAATACCCTAACACCTACAAACAAACCTCTAAGCTTTGATCTCTTAATTTCCAAATGTTCTGAGTTTCTGTTTGTCCTTAGCCGCCTTAAACTTTAAGTTTATTTACCTCTACTTTAAATATTCGTAAAACCATTTATTTTAAGTCTTATTTACTTTTATTTAACCTGTAGTTCTTTTGTAACCCTTCCTTATTAGGCTATATTAGTGTAAAATTTTCTTTACCTCTACTATTAGCACTTGCTATTTTTAAAGAAACCACGATCTATAAACGTAACTAAGTACACTACATGCACTGAATTTAACACAACCAAAAAAAATAATGAAGCAACTTGTTAAGTATTTAAGAAGTAAGAACACAAATTTAGTTTTTTTATAAAGATATTTATGAGAAAGTGTTTGGGCTTGAATAAAAAGAAACTTAACCGTGTGCTTGGGATTAGTCTAAATAAAAAAATTAAATTTATATTAAAACAATAAAATGTTAGCCATCAATATTGAGTGAAGATTATTGGAGTAAACTTACGAAGCAACCCATTAAATGTTTTTTTTGTTGTAAAATGTTAAATGGAGTTTAGAATTGATTTAGAAAATAAAAAAGTAGGCGCACTAAAGCTCAAAGAAGAAATTTAAAGAAAACAAAAATAGGGGGGAGGGTAAACACTGGCATTTTAAGTTCAGTACTAATACTTTTAAACCGCTTAATTTGGTTTCCCCCCTCCTACCGAAGGAGTATACTAGAATTTTATGAGGACGAGGTTAAATACGCGGCCTTCAAAAGGACCGAAAAAGAATGTCGCATCCGTGAAAACCGAACCCACGAACCCACGAACCCACGATCTTGAGTGTGCACGCTAATGCTCTTAACCACAGAGCTACGAACAACTCTCAATCCCAGTATGATGGCTGTAATACGTATTCAATTTGTCAGCGTATCACGACTGTCTCAAAGTACGGGGAATAGCGGAGGTATATCCCGACCCGGGCTCCCGTCGTTCGACCAGGAGTGGTGGAAATTGCTTAAACCACACCGGGAGAGGGGGCGGATTGCGAATAGATGCAAAATCATAATTTCCTTGGGGCTCCAATGTTTAAGTTCTTTACATTAAAGTTAACTGCTCCTAAGAGGACGGCAAATCTTCTGTTTGATAGAAAATAATTTGATCATCTGGTCTTAGATCGTAGGGCATTATAAACCACTTTGAATAAAAGTTCGCAATACCAAACTTTATTGGAAGCTTTTTCAACGTCTAAGAATACTATGGCGGTGTCTGTTTTCTCAATTGTTAAAGCCTTAGTTAATATATTCTGAAAGTCTTAAGATTTGTTGATTTTGAAGAAAACCGATTTAAAGCTCTATAACAATGTTCTTTCCATTTACAAAGTTTTTCTAAAGCCATTCCGAAAATATCCTTTAAAATTAGTTAATCAACTTTTTTTTTTCCAGATACCACTCTTAACTATGTGTCACAGGAGTAAAGCAGAATGCTAAATATAATTTAAACCTAAAATGTTTTCTACACAACCGATCCTTATGGTCTGTTTTAAAGTAATAGTTAACTGATAAAAAAAATGCAAGTAAACAATTTTTTTACCGATCCGGTAATTTATAAAAACAAGTCGACCACTAATCCTCCAACTATTTGTTTATGAAAAATATGTTTTCGGAATGGTAGGATATTTGTAAGCCAGTATGAGTTCAGACTAAGAGATTTCTTTTAATTCACTAGCAACGAAGAAATCTCTTTTTCATATGATAAAAGTTATCTATGGTTTTAAAATAACAAGCCCATTCTTGTTATCATTTTTACTTGCACACTTCTTTAGCTTCTAAGAAGTGATTTATATTTTTTACAGAACTTTAACGAAAAGAACCCGTAAATGTTTTTAAATTTTACTAATACACCATCTGTTCAAAAGTCTACTATAAAGATTCTAAATTAAAAGCCAAAAAATTCTCTTCCACCATAAATTTTAGTAATAAAAGTATTAAATTTATTATTAAAAAACTCTACGAAGGTACAACGTTTACAAAAATCTATGGCAGAGAAAATTTACTTAGCCAGTAAGGCAAGCAGCACGGCCCGTTGGTCACATAAATTCTTATAACGATTTTGTAGTTCATCTTCATATAAATTTTGCTTCTTAACTTCCTCGAGCAGCGCCTTAAAAGATTTATTATATAAGAAATGTGTTAAGATAACTTCAGTTAATAAATAGTACGTTAATTCTATAAGAAATTCCCACAAGCTCGGTGGCTCTCAAAGCTTTGTAGCATTTCAGCTCTGTAATGGCGAGTTCTATCCGGTCACTTTTCTTTTTGATTTCTTTGCATAGTAAGTCTTCTCGTTTCTTATTAAAAACATATTGAATGTTAACTAAAATTTCAAAAAAAGCGTTTTCTTATAAGTCTAGAACAGGTTATACAATCCAAACAAAGTTCAGTTCAAAACTAAATAAAGATATTTCTAAACTGTGAGGCGATAAGTAATGATAATAACTAAAATCTGGGGTTAGAATCAATACACAACAGGAAATTAATATGTTAATGCTACAAAAAACATGAAGGGGGAAGGAAGCGAGGGCTACAACGAGAGCACCTGGTAGCCAATGGTGAGTGTCTTGACTTTACTTTCGAGGCGGCTCGCTTTTTTCAGACCTTCTTTCGATAACAGTTTACTTATAAACTAAGAAAAGCAAATCTCTATTATGTTAAGCTCTTTCTGTAGTTGTCTGAAGGCACCTGAAATTCATCTTCAAGAGCAGCAAGCTTATCGTTGGCGGAAACAAAGGAGGCACGTGCATAACGGCGCTTTATTAAGTAAGTAATAAATTGACGCTGCAGAACACGATGAAATTTAAGTAACTTGTGAAGGGACAAAAGTTATATCTTCTTTACACTCTTCCCAAAGTTTTGAGTAAGTTTCCATGTCTACTTCTTTATGATTCATGCCATACTTGACGAGAGACATCTCGTTTCGCAACACTTCTTTTGCCTGCATAACGCAATATAATATACATATAATAGAAGATATTACTTAGTAGAACTTTATTTAATTCATCGTCAGTGAAAAAGTTAAGCTTGGGGGAGGCCGGTGGCTTCTTCAAGTTAACAGGCGGACTCTTATACACATCGTATTGCTGGAGAACCAGCACTTCCTGCTTGAGGAGCTCGTCGGCCTGAAAACAACCAATAACGCGAGAAGAATCAAAAACTGTTTTAAAAGTAAAAAAAGAGTGGTCACAGCTTGAAGAGGAGTGAGATGAGTGGCCGCATCCGCCTTCAAGTAGTTCTTGTTAACCACAGATGGGCGCGGAAGGCAGCGCCTCAGTGCACTCGAGCAATGGGACAATGCTTTGGCCTCTGCGTATAGTTGCACGAAGAAAAAAAGAATCATTAAAAATTATCTCTAATACGCAAAGCCGACAGAAAACCTTCTTCAGCTTGTAAAGCTGCCGATTGGGCAAGAAGCTCAGAAGCGTCCAATGACTTTGCTTCATTAGCTTCTTCAACATCTTCAACGATCTAAACTTTATTATGAAAAAGTTCGAGCTCGAATTTTAAAAAAAATGACCTCTGGAACTACTATTTCATAATCATTCTTTGGAGCAGGCAAGCTGCGCAGCCCCTGAAGTAACGAGTTCTTTTTCTACGCAGAAAAGAATTATTAAAGATTTAAAAGGTTGAAAAATTGAACTTATACAAGCACGTGCTGGGCGCCGACTGAAGGAAATTGATTGATGCCCAAATTATCACGTGCAGGAGTATAGGTATGAAATTCCTTGGAGGACCGGGCGGGCGTACTTCCTGCCGAGTTGAGAAGTGAGATAAAAAAAATACACGCGAAGAGAAGGCAACACCGAATTGCGAGGGCCGCGCAGGTGTCTTCAGCACGGTGTTTGGGGTTTGAACAACCTGATGCCTCGGCGCTCCAATGGTGTCGTCAAAATCTGCAATGGGCATGTAGCCTTCTCTGCCGGCCTTCGAAGGAAGGAATTAAAAAAAAAGCATGCTGGGAAGTAACGACGTATTATGGACAATTGAGAAAAATAAAACAGAAGTCCGAAGTTAGACCAGCAAGGGCGTCTGCTGCTCGTTAAGAGCAAGTAAGTACTTTGCATCTTGAATAAGTCTATCATCTTCCTCTCGCAACATGGGCGTGCGCAGAGATTGAACAGCGGAAGAGGTGATCGAATATTCGCCTATAAGGTCGGACGAAGCGGAATCAAGTTCGGGATCAAGTAGTTCTTTAGCCTGTTCTGAAGTTTGCCCTGGAAACAAAGGAATGACGAGAAGTAAAAATAAACAAAACAGCACATAAAACCAATTTTAACAATTTCTTCAAGTTCAGAATCGGTAACTTGAGGGCTCGGAAGCACAAGTTTACTTCGCTTTGGCTGGTAATTGGCAGTTCTTAAAAAAAATAATACAAACTTGAGGGGTAAATCTAATATCCAAACTTAATACATCTTTAAATATTTAATTTATAAATATAACTCCACTTTACTACCCTTAAAAAAAAAATTACCTGTAACTTGTATAAAGATATTAGAAAGCAAAGTTATTAACTAAAACTCCAAGAAAATAAATAAAGATATAAAAGATGAAAATACGCTATTATTAGCAAAGACAATAAGTAAAATGACAAATAAAGTAACTATAAGTAATAAAATCTAATATTAACTACAGCCGTAAATTTTAATTAAATACAAAAAGTTTTTTATATATAAAGTAAAGGAAAACTTATTCCAAAGCGTTGGAATATTTTCATCTTTCTTCTTTTTAAGCTTTTCTTTATCTTTTTTTCTGGCGCGTTCTTCTTCATCTTCTCGCCTCAAACCTTCAATTTCTTGCAAACTTTTCGGTCTAAATATTTCTTTCTCCTTCTCTTTTATTTTCTCCGCAGAAGTATCGTAAAATCCTAGGAAAAAAATTTAGTAGAAAAAATTTACGAAATTAAAAATGTAAAATTAATAAAAGCATGGAACAAATTAAATATATACAAAAGCGTAAAATACTACAAAGTTTAAAAAGACAAAAAGTAAAAATAATAATTATAATAATAAAGCATATACGTAATAAATAATGCAAGTCAAAAAAAGTATTAGACAGCAAAAAAAAAATTTAAAGTATTATAAAGATACGCACACTTATAAGGAAGTATGTACTTAAAAGAATTAAAAAAAAATAAACCTTAAATATAAAGATTTTAAATTAATTACTTAAAAAATTGCAAGTAGTTTAAGAAAAGTAAATTTGTATAGTCAATAAGTAAAAAGAACCCAAAGGCTCTTTCCTTTGAAAGGGAATCTCCGCGTTATAGTCGACACCACGATGTCTAAATTTTGGTTCCAAAACAACACTGCCATAATATTGATATGGTAATAAAGCAGAAATAATGAATGTATGTTAAATATATAAATATATTTAAGTAACCAAAACATTTATATAAAATTGCAACTTAGTAGTAACAATAAAATAATAATAGTAAAACTCGATTCCAGCGGCACGGAGCTCTCTACGACGCTGAAAAGCAGCTAAACGCCGAGCTTCCTGCAGTTGTTTCTCTCGCGCTTTCCTTTTAGCCTTTTAATAATCTTCGTTATTTTATATAAAAAAAAGCCAAATAAGAAAAAAAAATAAAAGTCACTAAGCAAAACCTTCTTTCCTACAGTATTCGCCATGCGTGCACGGGCTTCCGAGAGCATTTCCTTTTCGTCTTCATCCATGTCAATGGGATCTGGACGAGCAGGTTTCTGCGCTGCATTAACATCAACTTCACCTAATTTTTAAAAAATAAGGTCGTAAAATTAAATTCTTCGCTTTGGATAAATAATAAAACCTGGCCTTAATTTTTTTAACTCACTTTCATCGTCAATTCCTTGGGCGGCTGATCTTTGTTAAAATAGAGGTTAAATATTATAATAATAACCATATAGTACAAATAAAAAGAAGTTATGAAAATTTATAAAAAGTACAAAAGCTTCTCATAGTGTTGCAAACACTGTGCCGGCGTACGACCAACTAAGGGGGCTATAGTGGGCCATTGAGTGGGAAAAATCTTAGCTAAATGGAGCAACTTCTCTTCTTCTTCTCGACTCCACTCCGTCTTTTTGATACTAGGATCCAGCCAAGAGTACCTTTAAGATGTATAATAGGTGGTAAATAGAGCTAATGCAAACAAATAAAAGATTTAAATAACTTACCAGCGCTCTTTACATTGCTTAGCCGACTTACGAGAGAGTAGGGATGCTATTCGAGACCTATATCACAAACGATAAAGATATTGTAGTACTTTTCAAAAAATAATTCTCTTTTTACCATTGATTTTTTCCATATTTCATAACAGCCGCTTTAAGTATTTCATCTTCTGTGTTTCTCCACACCCCTCCCTTAACAATAATTCTCATTTCTATTTGTTTTTCAGAGGAGAAAGTAAAAATAGTTTTAAATAGTAATTAGATATAGTCTTCTGGCGATGATTAAAAAAACAGTGCTGGTCACAGCGTAAAATAATATAATTTACAACCAATTAGAATGGTCTTCCCATCACGCTTTTCAATGGTGTTCATTTGGTGTTTTATTTTCAAAAATTCTCCGCACGAACCTAATTCTTAAACCTCTCTACCAAAGCTTTATGAAATTATAAACTTATTACAGGTCTTATTCTCAAATTTTAAATATTTAATTTGTATATTAATTGGATTAGGGCACCACATTAAAAAAGTTCCTGTCAGGATGTATTGAAGTATTGGCTAATGTTAAAGCTCATAAAGTAGGTAAAGGCAGTTCTTAAACTGGAAAAAAGTAAAACAAGATTAAGTTTGGGGATACGAAGGAGAAAAATCAGTAAGTAAAATATTTCTGCTTAACTATCGCCATCTCACTTATAGGCTATGACAAACAAAGCACAAAATCTCAAAGATTTCTTTTAGTTTCACTGTCGAACACTACCTATCTTTTTTGAAAGATAGTCAACATGCTAGGTGTTAGATTTTAGTTATACAGATGCGATCACCAGAATGACTTAAAAAATTTATTTACCAATATAAACTATATTTTTTTTATGCTCTTACTAAGAAATTTTGGAGGATTATTTTATTAATTATTTTTCTATCTCCTTAAATACTAAAAAAAAAAAGCTAAATTGCGTAAAAACTTATTTCTACAGTATAAAAAATGTAACTAATTGATTCCGAAAAATTCCATTGAACCCTTAGATTACTTTTAAAAAAGGTCAATGGGGAGGGGGAGTAAGAGTAAGAGCCAATTGCTCGACGCTTCGTGATATTTTGTATAAAATAACTACTTTAATATACTAAGTTAACTATTAGTATTTACTAATAAATTTCATTAACTCCATGTGCACTAAGCTGGCAAGATAGATTCTACTAAAAGAAGTCATAATACTATATGTTCCGACTTTTGTTATACACTTTAGAGTAATGTTCCTTGAAAAGTTAAATAAAGTTAGCATACAAACCTAATTTTTTATAGCATGTCTTTTTTTCTGACCACGCTTTATTGGCCGTTTTGACCGATTTCCTTACATTCATTTTGAATTGTTCCTGCCAACCTTTATGAAACTTCCTTGAAGCGGTTACTTTATAATCTGTTGTTTTTAACTTTCGTACAGCGAGATAAGGTGTAATATATATAAAATTCTCTTAATTTAAGTATTTACTATTATTTAATTTACCTCTAGAATGGTGTCCCTAGAAGAGGAATTGGCCACATTTGAAAGACTTGAACGGGAGCTATTATCTAAATGCAAGCAGGCCCCAAATACAACTTCTCTTAGTGTTAATTACACTTCATCACTTTACCCCTCGTCAACTTTTCCAACCTCTATCATTGCGCAAAAATCTGGAAATTCAATCACCTCTCTTCCGGCTTTAAACAATTCAAGCTCAACTAACGTTTCTCTTACTTTTCAACACCTTCCTCTTTTTCCTAATATTGATGTATCCGGTACATTATTTTGTTAAATGAGCTAACTTATAATATTTACAATTTACTATGTTTATTTTGAAAAGTTTTTTTTATTTAGTAGTGAAAACTTTATATTAGGTCCCACAATGGTTCTTGGGAGCGACCTAATTATGTTACAAAACAAACAGCAAGCAGAAAAGGCAGCTGCCTTGAAAGCCGACGCTGGAATTTCGAACACTCTTGTTTTAGAAAAGATTTACGGTGAAGAGCCCGTTAGTCACTTCTTTGTTTTGCTTTTTACCCTTCTTCATACTTTACTTTAACTTTTAGACTTTGAGGCATGCCGGTGGCAAAACTTGGCGTGATAAAAGTTTGGCTGACTGGAAATCTGGTTGTTAACTGTTATATTAAACTTTATGTACTTTTTTAATTAGTATAACGGATCTTTTTTGTTTTCTTTTAACTTCACGGAAAATTTTATTATTTAGATGACTTTAGGATATTCGTTGGGGATTTAGGAAACGACGTCTCTGATGACTTATTAACGAGAACGGTTGATTATCAACTTTTCGTAGTGCCATTAAAAAAGAAAACCTACCAATATATATTTATAAATTATTTTTATATTTATTACTCCCTAATACATTCTCTACTTATTCCTTTTATTAATGTACTTTTTTTTTCTATTTAACTTTATTATTTACATATATATGTGGCGCTAAAGCTTGACTTATGTTTATTTATTATAATATATAACTTTGCTCAGTATTGCTTATTAGTTTTTATATTTACTGTGCAGTTATGATTATTTTATCTGACATTTAGATTTAATTTTAAAGTTATTACTCAAATTTTACGTTATGCTCTCGTATTGCTTTTTTTTGTTGCATAAATATATGTTTTATTTTTATTTAACAAAGTAGGTTTTTATTTAAATTTGACTCTGTTTTATTTTTTTAATTACTCTAAGTTCATTCTTTTGTAATTGATTTATCTTTACGTATCTTTTTTTTTCTAGTTAAACTTTTTTTAATTGGTTGTTTATTTTTTTTAAGTTTCTATTGCTACACAAGTTCTGAGTGTAAACTTTGTTTCGCTCAGTAATTTTCACTCACCTAATTTGCAGTTCCAACAGTATCCAAGTTTTTTGAAAGCAAAAGTTATACGGGACAAAAGGTATTATTTTTTAAACTTATTGATTATTATTATTGAGTTATAATACTGCTTCCAAGTATTGTAATTTATGATATCTAAAAAGACCGACCTTCTTATACTTTATTTTTGTTTTTTTTGTTTTTTTTTTAATATTTCAAATTATAAGAAATAATTTTAGCACTAATGATTGTTATGAATTTAACAACTTTTTATAGTTTTCGTAATTTTTAATTTTTATAATAGGCGTTATTAATTTGTTAAAAAGACTGAAGTTGGGGTTAATAAGTTACTTTTTATCAAAAATTTCTAAAGTGTTTTTTTGACAAGCACGATACGCAGTATATTTTCTTGGTTAAGATTTATAGTTTTGCAGGCACGCATCTCTTCTATTAGCTATTTATTTATCAATTTTTAAGTTTTTAGGAGGCTTTTTATACTTCTAACGTTATTTTATAAAGTTACCATTTTAGTAGTGTAACTTTGTGTAATATAAAAATCTAAAGTATACTTTTATTTTGCTTATTTTTTGTAGAAATTATACATTAGAAGTTCAACATAAAAGTAGTTATTTTTTAACATAATAATATGTCCATTATATTTTTACAATTTATCAGAAATCTTGTTTAATTTTTATAATTTATATTTGAATTTTCGATATCAATATAGATCAGGAAAAACGAAAGGTTACGGGTTTGTAAGTTTTAAAGATCCTAAAGATTATGTTACAGCTATGCGCGAATTAAATGGTTCTTTGTAGATTTATTTTTTTATTCAAGTTTATATAATGCTTCTTCGTTAAATTAGGGAAGTATTGTGGTAGTCGACCCATGAAACTTAAAAAGAGTTGTTGGGAACAGAGAATCCATAAAAAAGGCCTTAGAAAAACTAAAAAATAAATTCAATTCCTTCTTGATTTTGTAGTACGACTTGCTTGTAGATTCTTTTTGCCAGGATAATGAACCTTCTCATCTGTTTAATTTTTTCTTAACACTATTTTGCGCTGTTTACACAAAAGTTGACAAACAGTATAGTATTAACCAACTTAGAGGCGTATAGTATATTATCTGAGTTATCCTATAACTTATACTGCTTTGTAAACACAGCAGTATTCAGTTTTATTAAGCAAACCTTTTATACGTTACCAACAGCGCTTTGTTTTCGAGTAGAAGAAGTACCTTTTTTGTGGAGTGCTCTCCAAGTTACTTTATATGAATAACTTTACCCTTATCTATAGTATTGTATTTTTTATATAAATAATAACATTGCTCTTGGTTTTAAACAAAGATTTTTCAGTCGTACTTACTGAGTGATTTGAGAGGTATATACTACATATGAAGGGAGTGTTAAAGTTAAATCCCCTTATTTTATAGTCTTATATGCTAGTTTTAAAGAATCTGCCGTCCTTTTTTATTTTATTTAACAGTTATAAAAATTTATGGATATCATTTTTATATAAATTATATAAAACAATAAAAGTAAATTATTTAGGTGATTTTATTGTAACGGAAGGCGCTTGTCTTTTAACAAAGTTTTAAAAACTGCTTATATAAAAGATAGACAGCAATGCCATACTGCCTTTAAGTCAAAGAACTTCCGTTGTTTACTCGATATCCCTTCATATGAAGGCTGGGCGCACGCACTGATAACGTGTACTATGCGAGTAATCTGCCCGGACGGGTAAGTATGAGGCCCCAAGGTCGTTTTTTGGGTAAAGTTTTTATTTTTATTTTGCATCGCTATGAATGGTATAATCGGTAATTTTTGCTTGCTCCTTAAATCCATGAACTTGGTTCATCAAAGATCAAACTATAAGGAGGAGATCGAGACAAGGCGGCTTTTATTAATAGTTCGTAAAGTTAAAAATAAAGCGTATAGAAAACCGATAACCATTGTTTTTTTGCAATAATAAGCTTCATATTTCAAATATATATATATATAGCAATTAACTGATTATTAAGTTCGGATTAAGTGTTTGACCGAATAATCTTTGCATTATATAAAAGGTACAATAAATGTTTTAAGAAATTTAGCCTTAATATGTAGATACCCAAAAATAAAGCCTTTTTTTTCAAACAACAATTATACTTCTTAATCGTTACAAGATAGTGTCACCCCCTAAATTAGATGTCAAGCTATAGGAAAATTAACTTTATGCCCGATACTCTAGTAGATCACCTTTAGAAAGAATTGTTTTCTCTTAGCTATTACACAAGCCTGCAAAACTATTTTTTTTTAAGCTGCACGGAATATTTTTGGTCTAGGATGCTGAATCAAAAGCTGATCTCTGTTTCATCCTATCACATACTGTTTTTTTAAAAAAAATAGCGGTTCAAAAATCATAACAGCGATGATAAAATCACTTATTTATTACATTGAACTAGACATATTGTTCTTATAAATAAACAAACAAATCCTCCATGATATATTTAACATTCTGCGCTTACTCTTTTTGTCTGTAAAACCTTCGTCTCTTTGAACTCCTCCGAACACGTCTCCATCTCCATTTTTCGTTTACCCCCCTGATTATTCAGAAGTAGTGAGCTAATCTATAGCGTACCATCTTCCTTGGCAGCGGCTTTCAATACCGTAGACATCCTGGTGAAACCATTCCACCCTGCTTTTCACCATAGGCTCCCAAGTTTTCGAGGAGGTGGTCTACATGGGAGTGTTCAAGAAATGAACTCTTTAACTCCACAAGCAACCTTGAGCTTTATGTGCAGCCAAAATGTGTAGCATTTTGGTTTTGTCGAAGGGGTTCTTTAATGTTCCCCAAAACCATGTGCACTACGTTTTTAAAAAAGTCTAATGCTCCTTTTCTTTTTCTCCCAGTTTCTAAAAAAAGATGATCGGTTAACGTTTTTCGTATGTTCGGGAACAGTATAAATTCACTCTTTCAAGTTAGCTCCAGACAAATTTAAACAATTGGAACACAAATATGTAAAATATTCTCCATCTTTTGGCAGTAATTTTACAAGCTGCTTCATGAGCTCTAATTTAGTAGGAAGGTGTTAATAAAACCTTTTCAGGAGTAACTCAAGATCTTATTAATTACGTCTTTACACCAAGGGGTGAAAACATCTCGAAATGACAGGTTAATTTTTGTCCTACGGAGGCCTTTAGCTCCACTGCCCCGCAGGCTTATGAAGCATGGAAGCTTTATATAAATGCCTGCTGGCCCAACAACATGGGTAATATTTTGAAGTTTCCTCAAACCATGTCCTCATTGATGTTCTTGATGGTTGACTTCTCAATAATAATAGCCAAATCTTTATAGACTTTTTCTAAATGCACCGAGTGTTCCATTAGCATTAGTGCAGATGTTTTTCCATTATGCATAAAGACTACTTTGAAGCTTGTTTTCAGCGTATCAATGAAAAATGCACCGTACAGATGGATATTATTTATTGTCAAAGCATTTCAGAGGCTCTTGAACATCCTTACAAACAAGGACATTTCCCTTTTTGGAGACGAACCGAGTAAGTTTCTTCGTGTATTCCTCCTCTCGGTGCCTGTAGCACGAGATTGATGTTTCATGTAACAGCAAGTATTTATAAGTCAGTCCCCACCGTAGCAAATTATCTTTAAAAAGGCCTTAACTCTAACTAAGTCATAAAGCTTGCTCTGATAAAAAGGTTAGGGTCCCTCATCAATAGAAAAATCTGAACTGGATTCATTCTGGGGTGGGGTTATAGTTCTGTCCTCTGAATCACTGCCTATCCTCCAAGTTTAAAGGTGAGAGGGGAACTAATATTCAGACCTATGAAACACTGGACGAATAGCTAAATTAAGGTTTGTGTAGGACATTTTCTTAACACCTTTTACATCTACCGAATAGAAATAACAACAGTGGTGGGGTTTTGCTGTTCACGCCACATTATGGAAATGACAAATGAAATGAGTTTTTCTTACTCTTAGACAACAAACGAAAATCTTCCTCACACCTTTTGCACACCTCGTGAGCAGCCCAAAATTTGTTTTGACCCTCAAGTTTCAAATTGAAATAAGCAAAGTACACTTACTTCACACAATCACTTAGGTTTCTTAGTTGTTTTCACCACAAGTAAAACTAAAATTGTCCGGGGAAATAACACAACCCCTTGGAGCCATAATACAGAACTAAAAGACAAGCACAGTGAAATTTGAGCAGGGTATAAACTGAGTACGTCCTGAAATTAAATAGCATGTTGACACTGTCATTTCTAAACACAGGCTCATTTTACTCATTCCTATTGCTCTAAAAAACATATCTGAGCATGCTCAACAAAGCTAGTGGGATTCTTCACCTTTCGCTACAAACACAGTAAACGTGTTTGGACATGAACGTCTGAACTCTTCAGACCACCAAACCCACCCACTTTCTGTTTGAATTATTTTTTTAAATTCACTCTTTTAAATATTATTTTTAAAAAAGTAATAAACAATTATTAAATATGGTTTTTTAGAATCAACAGGGTATCAGATTACATGTTGAAGATAAATTTTACACAAAATATAACTGTAAATATGAGTTTTGCAAAAAAAAAAAAAAAAGAGACGTAATGGGACTTTTTACTATTCTTTCGGTTTAGCGAGTAACCTTCTATAAGAAACAGTAAAAAAATTCTACTTAGTTTTTTGGTGTTGTCCTGTGTTATTATAGTTACCGCCTGATGTACATACTGTGATTTGAAGCTGAGGGCTGCCCATTTGAGGGTGGCGTACTAGCAAGTTAACTACGTAAAACCATCATAATGAGTTTAAGAGTTGTCATCGTAGCTCAGCGGAGTATCGACGCACATTCAAGGTCGTAGGTTCGATTCCCACCGACGCGACTCTCTCTTTAGGTCTTTAATGGTCGCGTATGTAACCTCGCCCTCATAAATTCTAATAGGTACAACACATTAAGTTGATAAGAGTGCTCTTCTTATTTTGCAATTTGCCGCACTACTCAAGCGGGCCGAGAGGTTCCAACAGATTTCTACAATCCTTTTTTGCTTTAACCATTTCTATATTAATTTTTAATTAAATGTGATACTTTTCTTTGTTGTTAATAATATATTAGTAAAATAAGTTTGTGAGAACACAAGTATGTGAGTAGTAACTAATACTTCTTTAAAAAAAACAATTGCTATGAAGGTTTTTATCTTAAAGAAGCCATCAAATTTGACAAAAAAGTGATATTTAACTTTTCACCTTATTTAATATTGAATAAGTTCATTCGCTCACTAAAATTAACTTTTCTTGCTTAAAACAAAGGCTTGCGATAAAAGCAAGGACTTAAAAGAGCGTGGTAAATGCTTTTGACTATTGTCAAAGTGGCCTTTACCTCAGTAAAGGATGACAGTCAGCTGTGCTAGAGTATGCCTACACCACGAAAGTAATGTGCATAAAAAGGCCACGAGAGCAAAACAAGACGAACAGAGAGAAAAGTGTTTATTGGGCTACTCTCTGGGAGTATGACCACAATAACAATGGAGAAGGAGAGAACTAAAAGAATGGGAAGTATTTTATCATAGGCAATCAAGCCGTTTAATATACCTTTACAAAGGGTTAAAAAAGCATTTCTATGTATGTAAAATTATTTGAGTAACTTTGATACATTATAAATAACGTTTGTTTCGGTTTCTTAAACTTATGAGAATATAAAGACTAAATAATTTAAGTTTTTTAAGTTTTTACTATGGAGATGAGATTTAAATTACAAGTTCCGAAAGTTGATGAAACGCTCACTGTTGGCATTGCCGTTGGTCTTAATTGATATTACCATATTTGTATATACTATTATATGTTTAACGTAACCCCTTCTAAAATGTTTAAGATCGCTTGTGGTATTTTTATTGTACATTACATGTACCCAATTCACTCGTAATTGGAAGTTAAAAAAAGGTGATTCGATTTATAAAATTGTTGGGAAGGA